TAAATTGTGACATCATGAACCACTCCATCTCCCAGTTTATGAGGAGAGCTGCCTGCCAACCATCATGAATTTCTTTGAGAACAATATTATTACATAACTAGTATTTTGGAAAGGAATATTAATATGTTTATTTCCTTTTTATTTTATTTTTTTAAAGAAGGATTTCACTCTGTCACCCAGACTGAAATGCAATGGTACAATCACAGGTCACTGCAACTTTAAACACCTGGGTTCAAGCAGTCCTCCCACCTCCAGCCTTCCAACTGGCTGAGACCACAGGTACACACCACCATGCCCAGCTAATTTTTTTATTTTTTGTACAGACAGGGTCTGACTCTGTTGCCTGGGCTGGTCTTGAACTTCTGGGCTCAAGCAATTCTACCTTGGCCTCCAAAGTGCTAGGATTACACACATGAGCCACCATGAATGACCTTAAAGCCTTTTTAACTAACATAATACTGCCAATAATTCTGAGGTTTTCTCAAAATATTAATAAGTCTTTGAGGGAATCTGTGCGGATTGCTCCCATGTGAGGCCCCTGGGAAATGGGCTTCGCCATACGGTGAGCTTGAGCCCGGACACAGATATCTGGTTGGGGGAGTCGAGCTGAGGGAAAGCAGGAACCGAGAGAGGAACTATGTTATTCTAAATAATTAACAGACATTACTTTATGGATATGAGGACTTGGGAGGCAATGTGTCCACTTTCCGCTCCTTGTGGTTTATTGCTTGATTGTGTTCATTTTGGACCCTTGTCACCTTCATTGTAAAATATTAACTTAAGTATTTACACTTGGTAACTTACTTACTGGGTGTAACTGTAACTTACTTACCATAACTTACTGGGGGTGACTGTAACTTACTTACCTTGACCTATTGGGCATAACCTACTTACTGGGTGTAACCTACTTACTGGACTTAACTTACTTACTGGGCGTAACTTAGTGGGCGTAACTTGCTTACTGTAACTTAAGTACGTTTATCTGGCATAAACAATTTTGACTTCAGAAAAGTATATAATGAGACGTATTGCAAAAATAAAATTGCTGCTTGTACATAGCCTAAGCCAGCCCTCCAGACTCCGCTTTCCTTTTTTCTTTCACTTCCGCGCACTCTCTCCCTCAGGTTGAATGAGACATCTACGTTGGTGGTCTCGGGGACTCCTGCAGGTCGGTAGTCCCCCGGCAGATATGCCGGACCCCAACAAGTCTTTGAAAGAAAATTGATTGTGATGTGTACCTGTTATAAAAATTCATACTCTTTAATTATCTGTAAGGTTTCACTTTAAGGAAAAAGCCTTCAGAATAGACTTCCTCTCCAATCTCTCAAGCCTGATTGCACTGCTTTTCAGGGACTGTGGGAGAGTGAAAGCATTACTTCACGGTGGCACAGAATGAGAGATTTGATGAAGACGAAGGAGGAAAATGGCTGACTCTTTGCTGACCTTCGACATGGAGATGTAGAGAGAGAGAGAGACAAAGTCTATACTACACAGGGGCAATTTTATTACCTTATCTTCCAATTTTTATTTCCCTTATCACTGCTTTTCCCTAGAAATGACTTCCTGAGTTTGCTCAAATTATAAATTACCCTTTCCTCTCTGCAAGCACCTGGAAAATAAAATCATATTGTTAGTTAAGGAGCTGAGCTCAATGTGTTTCACAAACTGACTGAATAGTTGTAATAGAAACTATGGAATCTTGTCAAAAGTCTGGTGGTTAACTCTCCAAACCAAAGTTTCAAGGTCCTGAGGTCAGCTGGCCACGTTCTTCTGTCCATCACCCGGTCCTGTCCTTCCCAGGCGGAACATCTTCTCTGATGGGCACTTGGAAGGAGAACCCCCCAACAGTTTTGCTAAAGCTTTCTGAAAATCAAACCAGTCTAAGATTTTGCCTACCCAGTCTTCCTTCCTTCCCTCTTTCCTGCCCTTCTCCACAGAGGTTACTACTAAACCAGGCTCTGACAGCCCTGCTCATTTATCCCTCACAAGCATTGTCCCCCAGTAAATCTCTCACTCTTACTGTATCTCGGTGATAGACCAAGCATCTGCCTATCACTGAAAAGGGAGCATTATTCTCCCTTTGTTAGGGGGCCCATTACATTTATGATTTGCTGTTAAATTCAGATGTGTGAATATTAGGTTGAGTCATTTGAAATTGGTGCCAAAAAAGAAAACAAACATTCAAGTATCACACAGAAAGTTCAGAAAGATGAGAATTACTGAAAGAGGATTTTGGAGGTGGGGTGCATGGAGGAAACCCCCACCCCTGGGGAAGGAGCACAGATTGGCCAAGGCTGTGTCCCTGAGGACACTGTGAAGACGCTGGCTCTGAAGTGATCTGCACACTGACTCTGCTGCTGCTACAGGAAAGTGAGTTATTTCAGGGGTACCACTCACTGGAACAAGAAGGCAGCAAAAAGAGCTAGTCTCTACCCCTTCTCTTGCCTCTCAGTCTCCTTGTAAGCAGAGACTCAAAGAAGAGGTGTCAGCTGGCCCAGTGGAAACACGATGGCAGAGTCCCAGCCCCGCATCTCTAAGAAAACCCATGACATGTGAACTAGGACATGAGGGGCAATAAATTTAAAAACAGGCCAGCCAATATCTGACCTTTTTAAGCTCAAAAATGGCCATTTCAAATAGTTTAAGCTAGTTTGTGTGTTTGTGTGTGTAAATATAAATGTATATATGCAAACATACAAGTATACATATAACTCTGTTAAAAAAAAATCTAAACTTACCTAAAAGAAACACATCAAAAGATTTAACATTGTTGGTGAACACTCCCTGTCGTCCTTCTGTCACGGACTCCGGGTAGCAGGTCTTCTCTGAAGCAGTGATAGTGCCTGAAGCTGAGGCTGAGAAATGACCGAGAGTGGGATGCCACAGTGGCTACTGTGAGCTTGGTGGAATTCTCTCCATCTGACCAGTTGGGGCAATGTTTCTCTAATGGCCTTTACAATGGTTGGTTTGAAATGTGCAGTTAATGCCAATGCCCAGTATGTCAGATGACACATTCTAGAAAGTAAATGAACAGTATGAGCTCTAAAATCCCTCCAGTGTGACTAAGCGAAGCCCCCTTGCTTGGGTTGAGTCAATCTAAATGCTAAAAGAAATCCTGGCAGACGTGGTCCCTAGAAAAGCCTGCCTCTCCAACATGGTTACAGCAGCCCATTGTTCTTCGGCCACTCACTTCAAACTGAGTAGAACTTACAGCTCCAATTCTGCAGACACCTGGCTGAGCCAACAGCTAAGTGACATAAATAAGGGGCTGCCAGTCCTCCCACACTACCAGGGGGCCTGAATCTCAGAATTAGAAGAAGTGCTTAGAGATCATTCAGACAGGTGGTCAGGTAGCTCTTTTGATGTCATTAACTGAAGTGTCATTGTTTATGTATTGAAGAACTGGAAGTTTCTACTAAGGCCAAATATCCCAATGATCTAGCAGTTAAATCATAGTCATGCACCCAAAAGAGTAAGAGAGAGTGCATCTGTCCACACACACAAAAAAGAGTGAAAATGTCATAGAAGCTCTATTCATAATTACCAAAAATTGGTATCACCTCTTATGTCCATCAAAAGAAGAATGGATTTTAAAATTCTGGTATATTCATTCAGTGATATAGGATATGACAATAGAAATAAATGAACTGCTGATACTTGCTGCTGATACTTGATGAATTTCAAAGACATTATGTTGAAAGAACAAAGCCAGACACAAAGAAGTATATAATGTATGATTCCATTAATGTGAGGTTTAAGAATAGACAAAACTATCCCAGCACTTTGGGCGGCCGAGGCGGGTGGATCACGAGGTCAATAGATCGAGACCATCCTGGCCAGCATGGTGAAACCCCGTCTCTACTAAAAATACAAAAAAATTAGCTGGGCATGGTGGTGCGCTCCTGTAGTCCCAGTTACTTGGGAGGCTGAGGCAGAAGAATTGCTTGAACCCGGGAGGCGGAGGTTGCAGTGAGCTGAGGTTGCACCACTGCACTCCAGCCTGGCGCCTGGTGATAGAGTGAGACTGTGTCTCAAAAAAAAAAAAAAAAAAGAATAGACAAAATTAAACTACAGTGACAAAAGTCAGAACAGCCTCTGCCTTGGGTGTGGGGCACTGACTGGGAAGCATTGACTGGGAAGGAGCAGTAGGGAACTGTCAGAAGCAATGGGAATGTCCTGTATCTTGATATGGATGGTGGTTACATGGCTGCATATAGAAGTATAAATTCATCAAGATATAAACTTACACTTTGTGCATTTGTCTGCATGTAAACTGTGCCTCAATATAAAAAAAACTCGTTGTAATAATAGTCCTCAAATATTGCAGTCTAATCTCTCACAGAAAAGAGACAGACCTGAGAATTAGGTAGCTCTCTAACTGAGTATTGGAAGTTGAGATGGAATTCCCAGCTGGACTGCCCAAGCTGGCAACATGTGCACCTAACATGCACACCTAGCATGTGATATGTCAATAGAAGCATGGGTGTGCTTAGGTCTAGGGAATACGTTTCTCCAAAACTCCATGGATTACCAAACCCAGAAGAGAAAATCACTCTTCTTTCTGTAGAGAGAGTAACTCCAGATAAAGAGAAGGAAGAATGAAGGGAATTCCTGGAGACTTGCTCCAGGCATTCCTTCAGTGATTTCTTCTCAATTCCTCATCTCTGTGGGTAACCACAGGACCAGTAAGTGACCTCCTGGAATTGGGCAGGCTCCTGGACTGGTGCCTCGCTGCTGCTCTTCCTCCTGGCAGTACAGAGGTGGAGCCCTACCAGAGTCTCACCAGTAGAAAAAGGTAAGGCCTATTCTGGTACAATGCTGAAGATTTTTTTTCCAGTTCCACCCAGGAGCAATGCAAATTGACTCTCTGAACATATTTACCTGTGATGAATGACCAGAGCTCTGTGACCAAAGCACTGAATACATAAAACCCATGTGAACCTCAACTCTCATTTACTTTTCACTTTCCCCAGCTGGTGCCCAAGACCACGGTGGAAGAAATGGCTCAGGATAAGGTGGAGGAGACAAGTGAGTTACAATGGAGCTTATTATGCCGCGAAGAATTTTCCCAAGTGAATGGAATTATTCTTCAAAAGAAAGTATGCGATTGCTGGGATAAGATCTGGAACTTCCAAGCCAAGCCTGATGACCTGCTCATTGCTTCTTACCCCAAAGCAGGTATGCACACAGGCACGAGAAGAGGGAAAGTTGGAGTGTGTATCAGCACCTTATAGGGTTGTGTAGTAAAGTCAAAGAGCGGAAGAAGGAAGTGTCCTTGTCTGGAAATCAGACAGGATGACAAAGGATCTAAGATTTTTCTATAATACTATAGAAGTTTCTTTAGAGATAGAGTAGTTCATTTATCAAAAATAGGTAACTAGTCAAAGCAGATTCTTCAGGTTAAAAAAAATCCATGTTATTCATTTTTTCCCCTGCATTCAACAATTACCTATTAAGAACCTTCTAAATGCCAGAGACCAGCACCAAGCATAGTGATTGGTAAAACGTTATTATCTTTGCCCTGCAGGGATTTACAGTACAGTCTAGAGAAGAACATTAAACTGTTAAGTCATTTCACAGATATGTGATTACCTGTGATAAGACCTTAGAAAGAAATGTAGATTGTAATGAGAGAACATTGGAGGTCCTCATTTAGATTAGGGAATGTATTATCAGTTTGCTATGGCTATGAACAAAGTACCACTAACTCAGTGACTTAAACACTAGATATTTATTGTCTCATAGTTTGGGACATCAGAAGTCCAAAATCAAGGTACCAGCAGACTTGGTTTCTTTTGAGGGCTGTGAGGAAAGCCGCTGTTCCAGGCCTCTCTCTTTGGCAGGTAGATGGCATCTTCACATTCACGTTGCACTCTCTGTGTGCACATCTACCTCCAAATTCCCCTTTTTATATAGACATCAGTCTTTCTGGGTGAGAGCTATCCTAAGGACATCATTTCTATTTGATCACCTCTATAAAGACTCTATTGCCAAATAAGGTCACATTCTGCAGCACAGTGGGTAGGAACTTCAACATATAAATCGGGGAGCACACAAGTTAGCCCATAATAGGGAGCCTGAAGAGGAAGCATTTGCATATGCAGACAGGAGCAGTAGGGCTTGCTGATAGATGATATGTGGGGGTAAGGGGAAGAAGAGACACGATTTTGGGGTAGAATGATCAAGTGGATGCCAGTGCCAAGCACTGAGTCAGGGAAGTCCAGAGAGGACCAGGTCTGAGAGGGGCCAGGGTATCTATTATTAGGTAGTTGAATGGATTGAAGGGGGTCAAAAATGGACTGGGGAACACAAGATGTATATGTTGCCATTTCCGGATGAGAAAGAAAGTAGGTTGGACTAAGGAGGCGAGAGTGCAAATGGAGAGCGAGAGAAAACTTGAGATGTATTTTGGAGGTAAAATTGCTTGAGATCCGAGAGGAAGGGATAACTCCTGGGTGACTCTCTTCGGCTTTATCAACTGAGTGGCCCCTTGTGCTGAGATGGGAGAGCCTGGGAGAGGGAAAGGCATAGAGCCTGTGCAGGAGGTGGGCAGTTAAACTACAGCTCAGTTTGGGACACATTAAGTATGAGATGACCTTTAGACTGATAAGTTTTGATGTCAGGGGAGATGTCAGAAGTAGATCACAGAGGGAAGCCCACTCTGGCTGGAGATAAAACTGGAAATGCTGTAGATTATAAAATCTCAGCTTAAATGCCCTAAGGCAGAGCCTGAGGCAAGGATTCAAGTGTACGTGATTCATTGAAGTGGTGCTCTTTAGGGAAAAAAAATAAAAATAAAAACACTAAGGATATGTTTAGGATAGGGTAGGGGAAGGGGCCAAGCAAAGATGTGGCATTTAGTAAAGCCTTGCCCTGATGTGGTTAGGCAGGAGGGAAGTGGAAGGATGGAGGCTGTTTCCATTAGAAGCCTCCCTTTAGAGGAGGACACTCCTCCAGCAAAGCAGGGAGCTGAGAGACAAGAGCGGCCAACACCCACAGTGATTGAGAGGTTGGAGGGGGGTGCAAGAGGCTGGTATAGGGGATCTGAGGAAGCCACCAACAGTGTCTACTAAAAATGATGTTTAAATCAATGGGAATAAATGGAATCATATGGGAAGAAAGCATAGAGGAAAAAGAAGGCACAGGACCAAACCCCAAGAAACTTTCTCACTTAAACGTTGGACAGAGAAGAAGCCAGAAGTGGGTTGTGTCCTGGCACCCAGTGGAGTGAATCTTCAAGCCAGAAGGATCTGAACTGAGTGCCTGTTTTGATCAAATTAATAACATGGTTGTCAGATGGGCACTGCACTTGGTGCTTATAAACAGCCCCAGCCACAGCCTGGAATGACTACTGGGGTTTCTTTCCTCAAGCTGTTGCTTTTATCGACACATTCTATTTGAATCTCCTAGAGGCAGGATCATCCCCTGAAAACTTGAACTGCCTTTTTTACAAAGCAAATCAAGTTATCCAGGGTTGCACTCTTAGTAACTTCCCTCTAGGATAACACTTATAAATACGGAACAAGAAATACTATGCTACAAGTGGGAAATAATCATGAAAAGAGAAATTCATTTAAGTGAGAAGTTTATCTTCTTGGGACTCATGAGAACTGAGCATTTTCCGAGGTCAAATCCAGAAAATAAGAAAGAACATTTTTTCTGAGATTAGCGACAGGGCGTGACAGATACTTGAGACATGTGGGAAATGGCTGACCGGATGCTGTGGTGACTAAACATTTATCTGCCAAACTAACTCATCTGATATAGAAAGAGACACTGTTAATATTTAAGCTGGCACAACAGGATCAACCTGTATTGCCCTGAGCAAATTGGAAGGTTACAGTGACCCTATAAAACACAAGCCATCCCAGATGCTAGGTTCCAGGCCCCATCTACTACTTATCTAAGTCATCCTGTCATAATCCAAAATCATGATCCTCACTCCCAAACCAGCCCCTTTTCTTCCCAGGAGTCAGGTTGAGTTCAAGATAATTATGTGAGATGTTTATTAGGGAGTGGGCCTGGGATTACTACACCTCCCCCGACCCCAGAAGTTAAGGAAAGGAAGGAAGCAGGATTAGCCAGAGGGAGAAGTTGAGCTTCACCTCAGTCCCAGCAAAAAGCCTCCTACGGTATGATATGCAGCTGGGATGGCCCTGCAGAGTTGGTCCCATCCCAGTTGGGGAGAGGGGAACAGAGTGTCAGCCAGTCCCTAAATGGAAGATGCCCCAGGAAGGGGCCTGGAGAGGGCTGAACAGCTGGGGACCATCTACCAGCAGCATCCCAAGCAGCTGGTGGAATAAACACTTCCATTCAGAAGGAAAATCCGGCTGTGCATCCAGCACCTTTTACAATCTCCGTGAGAAAGCTGCAGAGCACAGCCTTTGTCACAGCTTGCCTGAGCCATACCATGGCTTGCTGAGTTGCCATTCAGGTCAACATATGTGCCTGAAATTGCCACCTTGTAGGTGGAGTCCATGGAAAAGCAGACATCAGCCTGTGCTGGAAACCAGGCCATAGTGGTGACTGAGAAGCATAATCTAGTGGCACTCAGCTCCCTAGGGCAAGAGGGGAGCAGTTACTGATGAGTACGAGTCATGGTGCAAGGGGCCCTGTCCGCAGGCTGGGTTGGGAGTTAGTGTGGAATGTGAGGCTAGGAGGTCTGGCAGAAACCCTTACATGGTATGGACCAACAAAACAGGAATAGGGTCAGGATACTGAAGGAGCCCAGGTTTCCTGAGATGCGCACAGCATCTACGATACCAAAGCCAAGTACAAAGGTGGAGTCTGCAGGAAGAGGCACCCAGGACTTCCTCTTAGAGGCTACAGAGAAGCAAGATCCAAATTCCATGCTCAGAGTTTACAGGAAAAAGCAGAGCTAACCTATGTGGAGAAGGGCTCTCTGAAACTGCCAAAGCAGCATGGATTGGGAATCAGGACAGCACATCACCAGGAGGCAACAAAGGTTTGAAGATGAAACCAGTGCTGACTCCAGAAGGGCAGAAAGATAAATTGATTTTAGTGCAGCGTAGGAACTGACCAGGCGCTGAGCAGCTGGTACAAGGGCACAGTCTACAGGTGGAGCCAGAGCCATGGCACTGCACCCAGGAACCTGCATCAGGGTACTAGAGAAAGGAGATGAGGATCACAGAAAACTGGCATGGGGGAGCCACGACGAGAATAGCACCTTATTTCCCAGTGTTTTCCCGAGTACAGTGGTCCCATGTGTTCTAGCTCTGGCCCTCAGGATATACACCAATACCATAAAATGTGACAACACCTACCATTTCCTTAGTTCCTATGACAAGCTGGGTTCTACCTATTTTTTCTTCCAACTTGCAAAACCACATGAGAATCAATAGTGTGCATCAAGTTTATATGATTTTTCCAAAACCACCCAACTCATACATCATATATAGGAGTTGAGTCCATTTGATTCCACAGCCCCACACACATCCAGTCCATGCTTCCCCACAGAAAAACAGGACCAGGTCAGCCAAGGGTCCTAGAAGCCAAATAAGGATGCACTTCCTGAGGACAGACACTGCAGAGGCCAGAATCAGTAAGATCACAGATGAGTCCATGAAGAGAAACAAATTTTACCCTCAAATGCAGCAAAGGTCATTTTTTCATTTATACGGAGTTCACCTTTCTTGTAGAAGTCACTGTTTAATCTTGCTTTGCCTTTGAAAGAGGAATTCATTCAATCTCATTTTTTCAGCTTGTGGATTATTTGAAATTCTTACTTTTTCTTCCTTTTCATATTATGGACATTGTGTCAGTTTCCTGGTTCTAAAAACAAACAAACTAGACTACTTATTAGGAGCCAGAGTTTTTAATGGTAAAGTTAATGTTTAAGAATTTCTGTGATTTTCTTCGAATGGAAATTTTAAAAATAATCCCTGTTGTTAAATATAATAGTTATTTGTATTATTGTTTTATATATTATATATTAATGCATTTATATATTATTTATATATTAATGCATATTCATATTTTTTAAGCACATCATTGGAGCAAAAAATAAAGAAGTCACACTTCTGCTATTAACTTTTGTGGTGACGAAAAGATCATAGCTGGTTTTGGTTTTCATTCAATATCGTAAGCAACGTAAGCGAGGTATTAGCAGGCAGATTAATTTTTTACAGCATGTTTCTAAATTCTAAGTTGCAGAATATCAATAATCAGCTCCTCAGATCTTTATTCTACATTCTTTCAGGAACCACTTGGACACAGGAAATTGTAGATCTGATACAAAATGATGGAGATATTGAGAAGAGCAGGCGTGCTCCCATTCAACTTCGACAACCTTTCCTGGACTGGATAAAAATGACGTACTGGGGTAAGTCTTCCATTTACAAACTCACAGTCCTCATATAAAGATGAACAATTCAGGAGTAGAGAGTCTGAAAGTAGAACATATTCTAGGGGGGAAATACTCCCTTTGATCCCTAATTCTAAGTATTGGGCGAAAAATAACTTTCCTTGTGCAAATCTAGATAGATCCTTTTGCTTAACGTATTTCACTTTAACACTTAACAATAGAGAGGTACAATCTGTGTATTAAACAAAATATTCAACAAGCTACAAGTGCCAATCGTTAGCTACACATTTCTCACCCAACAGAGTCCCTGCTTTCTCATGTGGCACCCCAGTGTCAGGGCCAAAGACGCCTGGCACCAAGGAGCACAGATTCAAATTTGGGATGAACCATGCACTTCCCATGGAAGAATAGTAAGTGTCATAGTCATAGCTAAGACTTTCATCGCACATACCAGGAGCTAGGCATTATTCTAAATACTTTTTGCATATTAACTCACTTATTCTTCCCAACTTGTGAGGTAGCTGCCATGTTATATGTGAAGAAATTAAGAAACAGAGAGATTATGATTGCTCAAGGTCCACAATTAATAGGTAGCAGAGACAAGATTTGGACCCAGGAATTCTGTTTCCTAAGTTCATGTTCTCAACCACTAAGCTATGCAGTGTGCGTGAATGTGTGTGTGTCCCCTATATGGACTCCAGGTATAGGTATCTGAGGGATGGAGTGCAATTAAATAGACCATGTTGGACCAACATGGGCACCTGGTCATCTTTTCTTTTTTTTCTTTTGAGACGGAGTTTCGCTCTTGTTATCCAGGCTGGAGTGCAATGGCGCGATCTCGGCTCACCGCAACCTCCGCCTCCTGGGTTCAGGCAATTCTCCTGCCTCAGCCTCCCGAGTAGCTGGGATTACAGGCACGCACCACCACGCCCAGCTAATTTTTTGTATTTTTAGTAGAGACGGGGTTTCACCATGTTGACCAGGTTGGTCTCGATCTCTCGACCTCGTGATCCACCCGCCTCGGCCTCTCAAAGTGCTGGGATTACAGGCTTGAGCCACCGCGCCCGACCCCTGGTCATCTTTAGTTAGAATTTTTCTACAGAAATCCATCCTAGCTCCATCTGAACAACTGACTTATGACCTCATCTTTGGGAAATGAATGAACACTAATGGCCTAAGACCAAATCTTGTTTGTTGCCTTCTCTCTCATTCTTCTTTTGGGGGAGAAGGGATAGGGTGGGGGGAACTAGACTAACATGTGCCAGGTTTTCCAAACTGCTTAGTTGGTGTCACACCAGTGTGCTTGAGAAAAAATGGCCAAAATTAGGGTTAAATATAACAAGGAACAGGTTTTGAAAAGTGTTCTACTCCATACTAAATCATCTCGGTTTGACCCTGGAGGCCATCTGTGGACACATCTTTGAGGGTCCTCAAGAGCTTTACAGCAATTTCTTAATTATGATTTCCATGGTAATTAAAAAATATGAAGTAGGCACATTCTGGGTCACCTGGATGATCACCATGTAACATGAATTCTGTCAGTGTGGTCTCATGGTCCTCATTTGCATTGGTGCCAACAATCCCTTGTGGCTGAGTGGAACTGTGGTAATTTCTAAAGGCTAATGGGATGAGAAATGGAGAGGACACTCAATAGTAAAGAATATACCAAATGAAGGCCAATGTAGCAAAGAATCAGAGGTACCAAAGGAAATACAAAGTGCTAAATACTAAAAGAAAATAGGGAGAAATGGTTTCTTATCATCTAGGAATGAAAAAAGCATAACATGGCACAAAACCCAGAAGCCATTAGAAAAAAAAACTGATAAGATCAATTGCATAAAAAATTAAAACTTTTTTTTAAATCAGAGAATGAGCCAGGATAATTTTTGCAGGGATTGACCAGGCTAACGTGATGCCTTCCCCAAGGACCCTGAAAACTCATCTTCCTGTACAACTACTGCCTCCATCTTTCTGGGAGGAAAACTGTAAGGTAAGCTTGAAACAGAAAATATTCAGAGACAGATTTCCCTCATGAAAACATAGGGAGCAGTTTATTGTGTCATAACTATTGCCCACTCATCCCCACATTGTATCTGCCAGGATCAGATGATGGAATCTGCAATCATATTATATGTTCTTAATCTCTCATTGATAAGGATGTGTTTAGCATATACCTATATCAAGAAGAGAGAGAGGATCAACATCTACTAGGCTCATTTCTGAGTATCTCATCCCCTTAATAATGCTATAAGGTAGAGGTACCTGAGCACATTGTAGCTCAGAGATGTTGCATAACTTGCCCAATGACAAACACATGGAAGGTGGAAGAGATGGGCTGCAAATCCACCTCTTCATTACCACAGCCCATGCTCTTTCTGCTACTCTACACCACCGACTGTATGCCTCCTATAACTACAGAACTCTTCCGAAGCTTCTAGGCAGTTGGCCTCCAGCCAGCCTTAAGGTAATAAGTATTTAAATGATCAGAAAGTGGCACTGAAGGAATCCTAAAAACTATATGCTCTGCTATCCTCTCACTTTATCTCACTTGTAGGTAAACTGTCTCTTTTAAGCATCTAAAGGTGCCTACAAGCAGCAAGCCCTAGACATTCTGAGACCTGATGAAAGTCAAATTTTTGAAAACATCAAAGTTATTTTCCAATTGTCGCCTACAGGGGTGCAGATGCATTTTCATTTATGTCTGAAATTGGTCACTAAGGAATTTTTTTTAATTCTTTCAGAGCACCCAGATACCATTTATTGCCTTTCAATCTAAAAAAGTGCTCCTCTACAGGGAGAATCTATAAATGGACCTTGGCACTAAGCCAAAGTAGTACCAACCTTCCTTTTCCATGTGGCATTCTGTGCCCTCTGACAGTCTTGTCAAGATTGACACCTTTACTCACTCTGGTTCTCTAGTGACATCCAGAGTGATGTCACTCTACCTTACTGACCCTATGTAGATCTGGAGTCTGGGGGCAGGTGTAGCTAAATGATCGAAAGCAAATGGAAATATGTTGTTAGTACAGATAGAGCCAGGCTGGGCTAGGAGTGTCAGTAAAATAAGAACAATATAACAGCAATTTAACAAGTATCAAAAGTATGCTCAAGTACCTCCACCTTATAGCATTATTAACAGGCTGAGAGGCTTGTCAGGACTGAGCCTAGTAGATGTTGGTCCTCTCTTCTCAAAGTAGGTATATACTGAGCTTATCATTATCCATGACAGATTAAGAACTGGGTAAGCCATAATGGGAGCAGAAGTGGGAGGCACAAAACTCCTTGACAAGGAGTGTCAACAAGTGTGACAGAGGAGTCAGGGCATGAGGAATAGACATAAATTTTTCAAGTAATAAGAAAGGGAAGGGCATTCCGTGTTACTGAAAGAGCAGAAGCCAAGGACACATGCACACAAATGTTCATTGCAGCATTGTTTACAATAGCAAAGACCTGGAACCAACCCAAATGCCCATCGATGATAGACTGGACTGGGAAAATGTGGCACATATACACCATGGAATATTATGGAGCAATCAAAAATAATAAGTTCGTGTCCTTTGTAGGGACATGGATGAATCTGGAGAACATCATTCTCAGCAAACTGACACAAGAACAGAAAATGAAATACCGCATATTCTCACTCATAGGCGGGTGATGAACAATGAGAACACATGGACACAGGGAAGGGAGTTCTAAACACTAGGGTATATTGGGGGGAATAGAGGAGGGACAGCGGGGGGCGGAGCTGGGGAGGGATTGCCTGGGGAGAAATGCCAAATGAGGGTGAAGGGGAAGAAGGCAGCAGAACACACTGCCATGTGTGTACCTATGCAACTATCTTGCATGTTCTGCACATGTACCCCAAAACCTAAAATGCAATTAAAAAAAAGAAAATAGGTCCAAGGCCACATGAGCAGTGGGAAGGAGCCAGAGATGCCTTGTTACACAGCCTTGCCTGCTAAGATGTTTGAACTTAACCTATAGGCTACTTGGATCCCACTGAAGATGTGAAGTGAACTAGAAAGTGACATGATCCCATTTACATTGTAGAAAGTTCCCCTGGGGAATGTGGTGGTTGGGAGGGGTGAACAGAACTTGGGCAAGACAGAAAAAGGGATATCTGTGAAGAGATGGTGGCAATAGTTCAGGAAAAGAACTTAAAAGGCTTGGGTTAAGACAGAGGCAGTGAGAAAATGAACTTCAAATGTACACAACAGACAGAATTCACAAGACCTGTCAATGACTGGCTATGGAAGATGTGGAACAAGAAGCATCTCGTATGATTATGTCATTGTAACTGTTGATGGTGGTACCATTAATGGAAAGAGATCATAAAAGAGGAGCAATTCGTTTGTGTGAAGATGAATTGAATTTTGACCCATTGAGTCTAAAACAAATGCAGAACATTCAGGTAGGGATACAGCTATGAGTCTCTAGCACAGGAGACAGATATGTACTAGAAACAAATTTGTGAGTCATAAACATATGAAATTTATAGCAATAGAAGAAAATAGCAAAAAAATAAAATAGAAAAAGTTAAAAAAGCAAAACTAAAAGTAGACCCAGGCAGAGCACTAAAAAAGGCCAACATTTAAATTAAATATTTCAAACTTTTAGTGATCATAAACCCCACGGAGAATCTACAGAAAGTTGTGACTCCACTCCCGACAAAGTGCACATCTATACAGAATTCTGCACACACTTTTAGAGAGAAGCACAGGCCTCTTGATAGTCATCATTTTAAGACTCCCTGCTTTAAGAGCTGAACGGCAGAGCAGGACACACTAAAGAAGGACAACAAGAAACATTATAGGACAGCCACAAAATCAGCACTACCACAGAAGGAGGGAAGGCAAGTGTGACCAGGAGAAAGTGAGCAAAGGGAATCAGAGGGCAAGATCACATACAGCCTGAACACCAGGTTGAGAACATTGAACTTAATCATAAGGGCAATGTAGAGAAATTGACAAGTTTTACACAGGGGAGCAGCCTAATCTGATTTTCATTTTTCCAAGATCATTCTGGCTGCTGGATGATGAGTGGAAGAGAAAAAGATGCATTCATGGCCTTTAGTACATGGTTACCAGAACACATATTCTGTGCACACTGAATGGCCAATTTCTAACTTCTTCTATCATTTATATTGTTTCCTCTCACCACTTTAGATAATCTATGTGGCAAGAAATCCCAAGGACAACCTGGTGTCCTACTACCATTTTCAAAGGATGAACAAATCACTCCCTGACCCAGGAAGCTGGGATGAGTACGTTGAAACAGTCCTGACAGGCAACGGTGAGCCAAGTGCATGAAACCAGCCTTCACCTATGTCTGCTTTCCCCATCAAATTCTCCTTCTTGAGAAAAAAAAAATTCACTGCAGAAGGGGCTCAGCTTGTCTTGGAGAGTAGGACTCAGGGCAACATCCTGAGAGATGTGGCATAGCCCTGGCTGTCATCTGTGGTCAGTGAATTTGCTTCCATTTGTAATGCAGCCTCTGAATGAGGTCAAACCAGCATTGTAGACAAGCCAGCTATATGAGAAGGTCCTAAATCTAAGCCTATGTTAGATGTTTTACATGCATTAACTTGTTTTATCTTTGGAGTAACCCTATAAGCTTGGGAACAATATTCATCATTCGTAGGTGATGAAACTTAGGTTCAGTGAGTTTGAGTAACTTGCCTTTGATTACCCTGCTAGCAAGAGGATGGGCCAGAATTTGAACATAGGCAGGTTTACTTAAGCTCCAGCCCTGTGTGCTTGGCAGCTGAAGTCTTCCCAACTGCCTGCACATTCAACTGGAAAGAAAGAGAAGGTTTAGTGTGCATGCAAGTTTTCCAACCACGACCATCATTTGAATTGGTGGTGCAGTGGTGGCCCCTGACACTGTAGCATCATAAACTATCATGTGCAAAATTGTATGGTCTTTCAATCATGCTTCCAGAGTCAAAACTGAGTCTTCACAAGTTTCTTGACTTTTTCTAAGTGTCAAATGCTGTATATCTTTTAATGCATCAACTGTTCTCCTGAAGAAGTCTAAAGAGTACTAAAAGGTGGTAAGATTATTAAAGCTGGAAAATAAGTTCAAGGAAATTCATTACACTATTTCCTCTACTCTTGTATATATTTGAATACTTTCATAATAAACAGATTTCTCAAAAATTAAAAAATGGTAATTTAAGCAAGTTCAGAAGGTTATACTTATGGGGAAGTACATTATAAATATAATATCAAATTGGTTTACACCGTTAAGTTGAATTGGCAGCTTTGCATGATTAAAACCTTTAACATTTACACCAGAGCACTTGATTATTCAACTTAAAAATTTATAGCTGAAACACTTTTGCTAATTATTTATATAGTCTTATGGAGAAACTGTCTTGTCTCCTATATTTAAGTTTTTCCCTCTAAAATAATTCTAAAATAAATGTAATAAAGTAGTCCTTTCCATTAGTAACAAACCACCAGTAGAGCATGAAAATATGATACCTTTGATTGCCATTTGACTTTCAAAATCTTAAATGACAAAAATTGTTATCACAATCTTCTCCTTATGAGACACACTTTAAAATGATCCATTATACCCCAAGGTATACTATATTTTCACTGGTATATATATATTATCACTGGTAGAATGTCTCTAGTTGATTTCATTGTAGATGTTCTAATAATGATGTCAGAATGCCTTTGGACAAAGAGCGATCTATAAGAAAGTGACCTCATTGACAAGTTAAGACATTGGGCATGTGCAGGGCTTGGACTGGGCCGCTGTAGATGGGTATTCCTAAATCAGAGAGCTGAGAGGATAGTTTCAACTCCTTGTCCTGCATCAGGCAAGTTGCACACCAGAGAAGAAAAGCATTGAAGTCAAACAAAGCTTTAGGGCTACTCCTCTACACATACATACACCCCACAGGAACTTCTGAAGAAGCACCTTCAGGCCCAATAGCATGGAACATGGGTACAAGGAATCAAGAATAAGAAAACAATAGCAGCTCCCCCTATTTACGAGGGTCTTAGTACCAGTGCTGGCATTTCACCCAGCTAAAGTAGTGCTGTCTGTCCAAGTGCAGGTAGATTGGCCCTATATCTAGGTCACTACCCATACAGCTTGCCCTGACCTAAGCAGGTTCCTGCAGCACAGGTTCTCAGTGGTTAAACTGGCACCGTCACCCTATGACTTCAGTTCACGCCAGGAGAGAGAAAGGGGTTGATAGATGCTCCCTCATGACTGGAAGCCATCACTGAGAGTGGGGCTGACGTGCTCTTAGACATCCTAGTATCAAAGAGACTTTCAGACACGTCCTACCTAGTATTTACCCTGGGTAAATAAAACATAGGAAAGGCAAATTTTGTCAGAAGGGATAATATAATAGAAGAAAGGAGAAAATATTACTGAATTTTTAAGTTAAATTTTTAAATGACTTCAGTTGAGTAGCTACTATGTGCCAGACACTCACTATTATACTGTGTCCTAAGCACTACCAGACTAATGCTTTTATATGACATAGCATTGGCCCATGCTATTATTTCTCCCACCTTAAAATAAAAAAACTTTTAAAAACCGCTCTGTTGACCCTACCTCCCCAACCCCAGTTACCTCCCCATCTTTCCCTCCATTTACTGCAAACACGCTGTGGCACTGGCTTACACTATTATCCTCAGTTTCTCTCTCCACACCATCAAAACTGTCCTGCCAGGGTCACCATGACTTCCACATCACTAAACCCAATGATCAATCCTCTGTCCTCATCTCATTTAATTCATCAACTTCATCTAATGCAATTGGTCACTCTCTTCCTTGAAATGATTTCCGTATTGGCTCCCAGGACCCCACCCTCCCCTGAAATTCCTCCTACATCTCTGTTCCTCCCCAGTCTCCTTTGCTGGTTTGTCTATCTCACAGATGTCTACGGTTGACTCCTTTCTCTTTTCTACCTGAAGTCATTCTTTGCTCACTATCACTCACCTTGTGGTTTCAGATGTCACCCATCTGCTGATGACTCCAAGATTTGTACTAGTCCTGGCCTTGGCCCCAGGCTGCAGGTGCATAGACCCAGCTGCCTCACCAACGTCTCCACCTGGATGTTTAAAGGAAAAACATCATGCGTCCAAATCTTAACTCATCCCTTTCCTCCAAAACCTGCTTTTCCTTCAGCCTCTCCTTGTTAATGGTGACTTGTCCCTTAAATTATTCAGGCCTAAAATCTTGATCTTATCTTGAGCACCTTTGTTTCTCATATACCCCATCCAGCCCAACAGAAAATCTGCCAACCCCATCTTCAAAATCCCTCCAGAATCTCAGCAATCCTCATACTTCCAGAAGTGTAATTTGATTATACACTCCCAGAAGTGCGAGGACTGGTCAGATTCTGGACGTAGTTTGGGCCAAACTATCATCAGATTTCACCTGGAAGAACAAAACAGCCTCTGCCCCAACTTTTGCCCTTGCCAACCTACACTCTGCTCTCAACAGAGAAACAGGAGAGATTCAGCTAAAAGGGAAAACAGAACATGCAACTCTTCTGCCAGAAGCCCACCACTGGCATCCCATCTCACTCAGAGTAAAGTCAGAGAACTTAGGGCATCGCACAGGCCCACAGGGCCGGGCCTCACACTTCTCGCATCTCTCTCCACTTCCCTGGCCTCACTCATTCTGTCCTGGTCCCTGAGGCATACCCAGCACCTCCCACCCTCCTCTGGCTCTAACCTCCCCCAGCAGGGCTCCTCCTTCCCCTTTTTCCAGGGTTGTGCTCAATGTTTCCTTCTTAGACATCCCTTCTTCTGACCAGCCAACCTAACTTTCAGCCTTCTATGTACCCTTAACGTTTTCCCTCTCCTTCCCTGGTTTATTTGTTCTGCTAAGCACTCACTATGATCTAGCATCCTGCATATTCCACATCTCTCTTATTTGTCTTCCCCATAAAATGTACTTCCAAGAGCAGGGCTTTCCACCTTTCTTGTGTGCACTGCTCTATCTTCAATACCTAGGACAGTGCTGAGCACACAGTAAATGTTGCAGAATACATTTATACAAACATTACTTTATAAGATAGTTATCTACTACTAACCTTCTTTGAAAGGATTGTTTTTAAAAAACACAGGCTCAGAGAGGTTAGTAACTTGCCCAGGGTCATGCAGCTTTTAAGGGTTAAAGCTAACATTGAAACCCAGCAGATTCTGAAAACTAACAGAGTAATCTTGCCAGCTTCTAAAAGGAAGAAAAGCTGTGCTGAAACAGAGACAAGAGGTATGATAAGTAAGTTCTCCTGGTCACATATTCCATTTGTATCTTATGAAAACAGCTTGTTTTTTTTCCTCTGGGTTTTTATACTCTCAGCTTCTCATGGCCCAAATATGTGTGTGTCTTCCTTTCAGTGGTATGGGGGTCCTGGTTTGACCACGTGAAAGGCTGGTGGAAGAAGAAAGACAGTCACCCTATTCTTTACATTTTCTATGAAGATATAATGAAAGTAAGAATTGTGTTTGAATTTTAATTCCACAGTATTTTTTCTCAGAGTTACAGCTCCATGACAGAAGAGAAGCAAAGTCATACTTGAAAGTTTATCTATGCAAAATATTTTGCATGTCAACTTCAACTTTAACCACCTTGCCATGTAGCATACAGAACTCCACAGAAAGTACCTTACTTACAGTTCTCTGCAGGAGGCAACCTGCTTCTTCCTGAAGTCCGTCTGCACTCTGGGATTGATTCCTACACTTCATCCAAAAGCATGGAAGATGTGTTCTGTTTGAGCCAGTTTTTTTTCTCTCTAGGTCTCTAGATTCCTCCTTCCAAAATCTCTACCTCCCTCCATAACTTGCTCTGACTTCTGAGGAAAAGAAAAGAATTAAGAACTCTAACAGGAAAGAACTAGTAAGAAAGAATATAGCTGATTTGATTTGTCTGCTTTCTTAAAATATTAAAGTTTTGACATTTTTGTAGGCAAAGAATTTATGGCCGAGACAACTCAGAAGCAAATGCAACAAAAACAAAGATATCTACAAGAGTTTTTCAAATGTTATCTTCTAGAAGTTTTATGGTTTCAGGTCTTAGATTTAAGTCTTTGATCCATCTGGAGTTAATTTTTGTATAAGGTTAGAGATGAGAATCCAGTTTTATTCTTCTACATGTGGCTTGCCAATTATCCCAGCACCATTTGTTGAATTGGACGACCTTTCCTCACTTTATGTTTTTGTTTGCCTTGCCAAAGATCAGTCTGCTGTAAGTATTTGACTTTATTTCTGGGTTCTCTATTCTGTTCCATGCTGTTTTGGTAACTATAGCTTTGTAATATAATTTGAAGTTGGGTAATGTGATGCCTCCAGATTTGTTCTTTTTGCTTAGTCTTGCTTTGCTATGCAGGCTCTTATATATGTGTGTGTGTGTGTGTGTGTGTGTGTGTGTATACACACACACACATACATATATATATATATACACATAGCTATATGAATTTTACAATTATTTTTTCTAATTCTGTAAAAAATAATAACAGCTGGGTGCAGAGGCTCACACCTGTAATCCCAACACTTTTGGAGGCCAAGGTGGGTGGATCACCTCAGGTCAGGAATTTGAGACCAACCTGGCCAACATGGTGAAACCCTGTCTCTACTAAAAATAGAAAATTAGCTGGACATGGTGGCACATGCTTGTAATCCCAGCTACTAGGGAGGCTGAGGCAGGAGAACCACTTGAACCTGGGAGGCGGAGGTTGCAGTGAGCCAAGATCACACCATTGCACTCCGCCCTGGACTTGTTAGAGTAAGACTCTATCTCAAAAAAAAAAAAAGAAGAAGAAGAGGGTATTTTGATGGGCATTGCATTGAATGTATAGATCGCTTTGGGCAGTATGGTCATTTTCACAATATTGATTCTACCCATCCATGAGCATGGGATGTACTTCCATTTGTTTGTATCATCTATGATTTCTTTCAGCGGTGTTTTGTAGTTTTTCTTGTAGAGATATGTCACCTCTTTGATTAGGTATATTCCTAAGTATTTTACTTTTTTTCAGCTATTGTAAAGGGGATTGAGTTCTTGATTTGATTCTCAGCTTGGTCACTGTTAGTGTATAGCAGTGCTACTAATTTGCATACATTGATATTGTATCCTGAAACTTTACTGAATTCATTTATCAGATCTGGGAGCTTTTTGGATGAGTTTTAGAGTTTTCTAAGTATACAATTGTTACTGGAAAACAGTTTGACCTCCTCTTTGTCAATTTAAATGTCCTTTATTTCTTTCTCTCATCTGGCTAGGACTTCCAGTACTATGTTGAATAGAAGTGGTGAAAGTGGGCGTCCTTGCCTTGTTCCAGTTCTTGGGGAAATCCACTTCAACCTGGGAGGTGGAAATCCCCAAAAACTGGAACAAGACAAGGATGCCCACTTTCACCACTTCTAGTATAATGTTTCCCCCATTCAGTAAAATGTTGGCTGAATGGGGGTAACATTATACTAGAAGTGGGGAAAACTTCTAGTATAATGTTGGCTGCATGGGGAAACATAATAGACGTGGGGAAAACTATACTTCTAGTATGTTTCCCCCATTCAGTATAATGTTGGCTTAGGCTTGTCTTGGATGGCTTTTATTACCTTAATGTATGTCCCTTCTTTGCTGATTTTTTTGAGGGTTTTGATCATAAAAGGATCCTGGATTTTGTCAAAGATTTTTTTCTGCATCTATTGAGATGCTCATTTGATATTTGTTTTTACTTCTGTTTATATGGTGTATCACATTTATTGATTTGCTTGTGCTAAACCAACTCTGCATCCCTGATGTGAAACCCACTTGATCATGGTGTAATATCTTTTAAATATGCTGTTGGATTCAGTTAGCTAGAATTTTTTTTGAGGATTTTGGCATCTATGTTCACCAGGGATATTCGTGTGTAGTTTTTTTGTTACATCCTTTCCTGATTTTGGTATTAGGGTAATACTGGCTTCATAGAATGATTTAGGGAGGACTCCCTCTTTCTCTATCTTTTTGATGAGTTTCAATAGGAATGCTACCAATTCTTCTTTGAATGATAGATTCACATGTGAAGTCATCTGGTCCTGGACTTTTTTTGTTGGCAATTTGTTTTGCTCAGAGTTTCTATTTCTTCCTGGCTTAATGTAGGAGAGTTGTATTTTTCTAGGAATTTATCCATCTCTTCTTTTCTAGTTTGTGCTCTTAAAGGTGTTCATAGTAGTCTTAAATGATCTTTTGTCTTTCTGTGATATTGGTTGTAATATCTCCCATTCTGTTTCTAATTGAGCTTATTTGGATCTTTTCTCTTCTTGGTTAATCTCACTAGTGGTCTAACAGTTTTGTTTATCTTTTCAAAGTACTAACTTTTTGTTTCATTTATCTTTTTTGTTTTAATTTCATTTAGTTCTGCTCTAATCTTGGTTATTTGTTTTCCTCTTCTGAGTTTGGATTTGGTTTGTTCTTGTCTCTCTAGTTCCTTGAGGTGTGAGTTTAGATTGTCTATTTGCACTCTTTTGGACTTTTTGATGTAGGCATTTAATACTATGAACTTTCCTCTTAGCACTGCTTTTGCTGTGTCCCACAGGTTTTGGTTGGTTGTGTCATTACTATCATTTAGTTCCAATAATTTTTTTAATTTTCATCTTGATTTCATTGTTGACCCAAGGATCATTCAGAAACAAATTATTTAATTTCCATGTTATTTGTATAGTTTTAAGGATTCCTTTTGGAGTTAATTTCCAGTTTTATTCCACTATGATCTGAGAGAGTACTTGATATGATTTCAATTTTCTTAAATTTATTGAGACTTGTTTTGTGGCCTATTATATGGTTTCTCTTGGAGAATGTTCCACGTGTTGATGAAAAGAGTTTATATTCTTCAGTTGTTGGGTAGAATGTGCTGCAGATATCTGTTAAGTCCATTTGTTCTAGGGTATAATTTAAGTCCATTGTCTCTTTGTTGATTTTCTGCCTTGATGACCTGTCTAGTGCTGTCAGGGGAGTACTGAAGTCTCCCACTACTATTGTAGTGTCACCTATCTCATTTCTTAGGTCTAGTAGTGATTGTCTTATAAATTTGGGAGCTCCATTGTTAGGGGCATAATTAGGTTTGTGGTATTTTTCTATTTGACTAGTCCTTATAATATACTGTCTCTTTTGTCTTTTTTAACTGTTGTTGCTTTAAAGTCTGTTTTGTCCAACATAAGAATAGCTATTCCTGCTCACTTTTGGTTTCCAATTGCATGGAATATCTTTTTCCACTCCCTTACCTTAAGTTTCTGTGAGTTCTTATGTGTTAGATGAGTCTCTTAAAGACAGAAGATACTTGCTTGGTGGATTTTTACCCATTCCACCATTCTGTATCTTTTAAGTGGAGCTTGTAGGCCATTTACATTCAATGTTAGCACTGAGATGTAAGGTACTGCTCTCTTCATCATGCAAGTTTTTGCCTGAATACTTTGTGCTTTTCTCACCGTGTTATTTTTTTATAGGTCCTGTGAGATTTATGCCTTAAGGAGGTTCTATTTTGGTGTATTTTAAGGTTTCTTTCAAGATTTATAACTCCTTTTTGCATGTCTTGCAGTGTTGGCTTGGTAGTAGTGAATTCCCTGAGCATTTGTTGGTCTGAAAAAGACTCTATCTCTCCTTCACTTTGTAGCTTGGTTTTTCTGGATAAAAAATTCTTGGCTGATAATTTTTTTTTAAGGAGTCTAAAGGTAGGACTCCAATCCTTTCTAACTTGTAAGGTTTCTGGTAAGAAATCTGCATTAATCTAATAGGTTTTCCTATATAGGTTATCTGATGCTATTGACTCACAGCTCTTAAGATTTTTTCCTTTGTCTTGACTTCAGATAATCTGATGACTATATACCTGAGTGATAATCTTTTTTATGATGAATTTCCTGGGTGTTCTTTGAGCTTCCTGTATTTAGATATCTAGATCTCTAGCAAGACCAAGGAAATTTTTCTCAATTATTTCCTTAAATAACTTTCACAAACTTTTAGATTTCTCTTCTTCCTCAGGAACCAATTATTCTTATGTTTGGTTGTTTAACATAATCCAAAGTTTTCTTGGAGGCTTTGTTCATCTTTTGGTTCCTTTTTCTTTGTCTTTGTTGGATTGGGTTAATTCAAAAGCCTTGTCTTCAAGTTCTGAATTTCTTTTTCTATTGTTGAACTTTTCCAGTGTATTTTGCATTTCTTTAAGTCTGTCTTTCATTTCCAGAAGTTGTGATTATCTTTTCTCTATGATATCTATTTCTCTGGAGACGTTTTCATTCATATCCTGTACTTTTTAAAATTTTCTTTAAATTTAAGGTTTTCACCTTTCTCTGGTATCTCCTTCAGTAGCTTAATAAACCTTCTGAATTCTTTTTCTGGCAATTCATAGATTTCTTCTTGGTTTGGATCCATTGTAGGAGAGCTAGTGTGATCTGCTGAGGGTGTTATAGAATCTTGTTTTGTCATATTACTAGAATTACTTTTCTGGTTCCTTCTCATTTGGGTAGACTGTTTCAGTGGAAAGATCTGGAACCCAAGGACTGCTGTTCAGATTCTTTTGTCCCACAGGGTGACCCCTTGCTGTGGTGCTCTCCTCCCTTTCCTTTAGGAATAGGGCTTTCTACGAGCCAGACTGCAGTGATTGTTATTGCCCTTCTGGGTCTAGCCACCCAGCAGAGCTACCAGGCTATGGGCTGGTACTGGGGAGTATCTGCAGAGAGTTCTGTGATGTGATTCGTCTTCAGGTCTCTCAGCCATGGATAACAGCACTTATTCTGGTGGAGGTGGCAGGGGAGTAAAGTGGACTCTGTGGGAGTCCTTGTTTGTAGTTTTGTTTAGTGCACTCGTTTTCTTGAATGCTAGTTATGCTACCAATGAAGCTGTCACACGGACAGACTCAAGACATCTGGTTAGGCAGGCAGGCAGTGGAATTAGCTGTTGTTTTTTCTCCTTCTTTGGAGCAGAGTTGTTCTGTTATGAGTTGCTGGGATGACTTGAGTTGCTTGCCCTCCAGCCAGGAGGTGGCCCTTTCAAGAGAGCACCAGCTGCAGTAGTAAATAAGGAATATAATCTTACCTTACATTTGCCAGAATGAGTACTTGGGTTTCTCAGGTGATAGAGCTCCCAAGAGTTTACGCCTTTTGTCCTCAGAGTTTTTCAGCTGTCTCGTGGTGTTTTTCCCAAATAGCTGCTTATCTGCTAACAATGAAAGTGAGTAAAATACTAAGCTTCCCAGATGAAACTCTTCTCAGCATGTCCGCTTAACATCAGCTACAGCACAGGAACAAACATGCTTATTTTCACATAACTGCCCTTTAAGATTGCCATATTTGTTGAATTGACATTTACAAATCTGCATGTTAATAAGCAAAGCATTTCAAAATTACTTTTAAACATAATCTGACATTGTTTAAAATATTTTAACCATTATTCCCATAGTTCTTTAAGGTTTGACTGTTGTAATATTTTTTCCTTTGTTAGAAAGCTCTCTTTTCTTTTACTCTCCCCAACAGGATCCAAAATGTGAAATTAGAAAGATAATGGAATTCCTTGGGAAGAACCTAAAAGAAGAGGTTCTGGACAAAATTGTCTATAATACTTCATTTGATATAATGAAAAAGAACCCCACGACCAACTACTTAAATGAAATTACAATGAATCATAATCTCTCTCCATTCTTAAGAAAAGGTGATGTATACTTGCTTTGTCTTTCCTCTGACAATAGAAAAAACAATGTCGATTTATCAATGTCTTCTCACCTTCAAGCTAGTCAATACCACTGTTTACAGTGTTTCCTGAAGTGAGTTTTTAAAAGCTTTATTCTGAGAGCATGTGCTTCACCATCAGAGAAGTGCAGGACGCTACACACCATGCCCTGCATCCTTTGAAGCATATTATAGTTTCTGCAAGGAAACTTGTTTAACTCTGCATAACTCAGACCTTGAAAAATGTATGTGACCAAAAACACTTGCTCCAGTAAAGCCTATTAATCTCCACGAAGCAAGTGTTCCTCCCAATACATTCTGGGAGACAGTGGCAAAGGTCATTGGCCTTAGGAGTCAGAGGGTGGCACCTTGGCTGTCACTCAGTGTGTGTCATCTCACAGAAAATGGCCAAGGTAACACCAAAGTCATCATTATCAGAGCCCAGCCAGACCAGGACTCAGCCTCCAGTCCAGTATGCCTCCTCCAGTATCCAATGGCTGGCTCCTTAAGTGAAGACAAATTTTGTTTCATTGTCTTTATTTTAGTAACTTTTAAAGAAGTTATCTAGTACCTCTTTAAAAAAAAATCTAAGGCTTACTGAAGAAGTCTCCTCTCTAATTTAATCAATTAGCCTAGTTTTCTTTCAAACCAGCTGGGAAGAGATATGATGATATTACTCCTAGACAAGCAAATTTACATGGCACACATAAAAGTTATGTTATACAGCTCAAAGTGCCTAAATAGCTATCAATACTATGGAGCAAACAGAAAATGTCTGATCATTTTTGGCTATTAAAGCTAAAAAAAAAATTCAAATGCTCTATTGCATAAGTATAAAACAAAGATAACCAACCCTAGCCTTCCTTCATATTCTGTTACTTTAATTATATGTTTACAGCAATGAGAATTTAGATTGGAAAGGAGAATTCTCAGTTTTGTTAATTCCCTGAAATAGAGGCACAGACAGAAGGAAGGAGTACATGACACTCTGAGAATGCAGTCATTCGGTGACCTCTGAAGAGTGGGTAACAAATTAGGTCTCACTAACCTGAATAGAATGTTAGATGTACTGAGGTTTGGGAAACTGCTGGTACAGCAGAAAAGTGCAGAGAAGTAGGGAACCTGTGATCTAGAGGTCAGGCCTTCCCCAGCAAGTTCTGTGTTTCAGTATAAAACTTGCTATTTACAAATACGTCACCTGTGAAATGAAGTAATCATAACTGTGGCTTCTTTTCTCACTTCGATGTCAGCAGGACAATGTGTTAATATCTATATAAGCAATCTAAGTATTGAGAGGAATGAGATTATCTAAATCCAAAATGGTCAAAGTTTATGAAAATATCATTGAATGTGTTCTGTATTACTCTTTGCAGGAGTCATGGGAGATTGGAAAAATCAGTTCACTGAAGCTCAGAACAAGCAATTTAATGAATACTATGAGAAAAATATGGCTGACACTTCACTGTCATTTTGCATGGAACCCTAAAAAACACAGTGAGAGGATAAAACCTATTCTCTCACCAGCCTCTGTGAAGTGAAAGGGAAATCTGATTCCAAATACCACTAATGATTTGTCTGACTCAGTGAAAGCGCTTTTAAACACCTTGAATTTCTGACCTGCTTTTTGGATTACCCACAATCAAACTTGTTATAAAATTATTTTCCTTACCATTTTTCTTCCTTCTCCACAGATTTTCAGGGTTTATGTGAATCGCAATATCTCAGCATGTAATATATAAAACATATTTAATCATTTCTGTTCCTCCTTCTGTATGTTATTATAATTTTATTTGAATTACAACATCGATTTCATTTCTTGTAAAAGTTCTATGCAATATAATCTTACTTAGCAAAAATGCCAGCCCCATTCATTTGAAAACAGACATATTTTGAGCACCTTATTCATTCTAGGCAATGGACACCACCAAAAGATGATAAGAATAAGATCCCTACCCCTAAGAAAGGTACAGCCTAATAAGAGATCACAGCAAGATCACAGCCCAGGTATTACCAGGTAAGCACTACACTAGATTGTTGGTGCAGAGGGATCAAAGAGGAGAATCAACAAAGTTATATGGTGTGGAGCCCCAGGAAAACAGTGGAAATTAAGGTATGAGGCCTTGGATGCTTCTCATCAGCCCATGCTCTGGCCTCAAAGCACACATCCCATATTTAGCACAGTCAACATTCATGTCTCCTCATCCCCAAGAGTTCAAGTTTGCCCTCCTTAATAGTTTACTTTTAAAAACCTTAATGACACCTATTTCAGAGGTCTCCCAAGACCCAGAAATCCTTCAAGGCCAAATGAAGTAAGTCTCCAGTGACAAGGTCCAAAGGCAGCAAGAAGCAGAGTGTATTTAGTAAGAAGGGAATATACCTCTAGCATCACCTCACCCTCTGTGTCAGAGGCGTACAAACCAGGGCAACTCTATCTCCAATAGGGGCTGGGTAAAATGAGGCTGAGAACTGCTGAGGCATTCTAAGTCACAAGATGATATAGGAGGTCGGCACAAGATATAGGTCATAAAGACCTTGCTGATAAAACAGGTTGTAGTAAAGAAGCCAGCTGAAACCCACCAAAATCAAGATGGCCACAAGAGGGACCTCTGGTCATCCTCACTGCTACGATTTCACCAGTGCCATGACAGTTTACAAATGCCATGGCAACATCAGGAAGTTACCATTTCCAGACTGATATTTGTTGCCCACAGAACGGGGAAATTCCCAAGTATAAAGGAGACGCGGGATGCCAGGTAGTACCGCTGCCTGGCGAAGCCAGCAGCCAGGGTGGCGGCGGCCGGCCCTACCCAGCGCTTCCCACAGGGCGCGCTTGTCCGGGTGCCCTGTTGAACCAGCAACCTGAGACTTGAGAGGGCTGGACTTGAGACTCAACGAGACTTGGACAGTGGGCCAGCCCAGGGGATTGCAGGGACAGAGCGTCTGGGGTAGCCAAGTGGGACGAACAAAACCGCAATCTCAAACGATCCCTGTGCAGACGGTCCCAGTCGCTCTGTGGGGGAAGGGCATCCACCATTACCGAGGCAACCCACCCCAACTGAGATACACGCCCACTGCTGACGCAGCCAGCCTTTGCTGAGGCAACCCGTCCCTACTGAGATACACGCCCACTGCTGACGCAGCCTGCCGTTGCCGAGGCAACCCGCTACAACAGAGAGACTCCGCCGCAGGGTGTGGCGGAGACCACAGCAGAACAGCAGAGCCTGCAGCAATAGGGCAAACCTCACAACAGCAGGGCGGAGCCTCGGCAGGCAAACAGTGGCTAGTCTGCCTCCTAGCTGGGCAGGACACCTCAACGGACATCCAAATATAAAGCCCGAACCCCCCAACACAGAGCATTTGAGAAAAAAAGGGTTTTTTTAATGAGCTCCGTTGCAGCAGAATCAAACATAGCAGCCTAACAGCCCTGAATGAACAACAGAGCTCAGAGCTCAGCAATTGAGCTCCTATAAAGTACAGACTGTCTCCTCAAGCAGCTCCCTGACCCCTCTATATCCAAAAGACTGACATTTGGCAGGCATCATCCTGGGACAAAGATAGCAGAAAAAGAAACTGGTAGAATCCCTCGCTGTGCCACAGCTGCGAGAGGTGCACCCCAGACAAGCAGGGCCTGGAGTGGACCTCAGCAGTGGTACAGCGAAGGGGCTAGAGTGGTAGAAGGAAAACCAAGTAACAGAAATACTTCATCATCAACAATCTGGGTGTCCACTCAGAGACCCAATCGAAAAGTCAGCAACTACACAGACGACAGGTGGATAAATCCAAAAAGATGGGAAGAAACCAGCACAAAAAGGAGGAAAACACCCGAAACCAGAACACCTCGCCTCCTAGAAAGGACCAAAACTCCTCACCAGCAAGGGAACAAAGCTGGACGGAGAATGACTGTGACGAAATGATGGAATTAGACTTCAGAAGGTGGATAATGAGAAACTTTTGTGAACTAAAAGAACATGTATTAAATCAATGCAAAGAAACCAAGGAACTTGAAAAAAGATATGTGGAAATGATAACAAGAATGGATAAATTAGAGAGGAATATGAATGAATTAAAGGAGCTGAAAAACACAATACAAGAACTTCGCGAAGCATGCATAAGTTTCAATAGCCGAATTGACCAAGCAGAAGAAAGAATATCTGAAGTCGAAGACCAACTCAATGAAATTAAACGAGAAACCAAGATTAGAGAAAAAAGCGCAAAAAGGAATGAACAAAGTCTCCAAGAAATGTGGGACTATGTGAAAAGACCTAACCTACGTTTGATAGGTGTACCAGAAGGGGACGAAGAGAATGAATCCAACCTGGAAAATACTCTTCAGGACATCATCCAGGAAAATTTCCCCAACCTAGCAAGACAGGCCAACACTCAAATGCAGGAAATACAGAGAACACCACAAAGATATTCCGCAAGAAGAGCAACCCCAAGGCACATAATCGTCAGATTCAACAAGGTTGAAATGAAGGAGAAAATACTAAGGGCAGCCAGAGAGAAAGGTCGGGTCACCCACAAAGGGAAGCCCATCAGACTCACAGCAGATCTCTCGGCAGAAACACTACAAGCCAGAAGAGAGTGGGGGCCAATATTCAACATTCTTAAAGAAAAGAACTTTCAACCCAGAATTTCATATCCAGCCAAACTGAGCTTCAGAAGTGAAGGAAAAATAAAATCCTTTGTGAACAAGCAAGTACTCAGAGATTTTGTCACCACCAGGCCTGCTTTACAAGAGCTCCTAAAAGAGGCACTACACACTGAAAGGAACAACCAGTACCAGCCATTCCAAAATCACACTAAATGCTAAAGAACATCAACATAATGAAGAATCTACAACAACTAACAGGCAAAACAGCCACTTAGCATCAAAATGGCAGTATTAAATTCACACATAACAATATTAACCCTAAAGGTAAATGGACTAAATGCACCAGTCAAAAGACACAGACTGGCAAACTGGATAAAAATCCAAAACCCATCAGTGTGCTGTATCCAGGAACCCATCTCACATGCAAGGATACACAAAGACTCAAAATAAAGGGATGGAGAAATATTTACCAAGCAAATGGAGAGCAAAAAAAAAGCAGGAATTGCAATTCTCATCTCTGACAAAATAGACTTTAAAGCAACAAAGATCAAATGAGACAAAGAAGGCCATTACATAATGGTAAAAGGATCGATACAACAAGAAGAGCTAACGATCCTGAACATATATGGACCCAATGCAGGAGCACCCAGATACATAAGGCAAGTTCTTAATGACTTACAAAGAGACTTAGACTCCCACACAATAATAGTGGGAGACTTTAACACTCCACTGTCAATACTAGACAGATCAACCAGACAGAAAATCGACAAGGATATCCAGGGCTTGAACTCAGACCTGGAGCAAGCAAACCTGATAAACATTTACAGAACTCTCCACCCCAAATCCACAGAATATACATTCTTCTCAGCACCACATCACACCTACTCAAAAATTGACCACATAATTGGAAGTAAAGCACTGCTCAACAAATGCAAAACAACTGAAATCATAACAAACAGCCTCTCAGACCATAGTGCAATCAAGTTAGAACTCAGAATACAGAAACCAACCCAGAACCGCACAGCTTCATGGAAACTGAACAACTGGCTCTTGAATGTTGACTGGGTAAACAATGAAATGAAGACAGAAATAAAGAAGTTCTTCGAAACCAATGAGAACGAAGACACAACGTGCCAGAACCTCTGGGACACATTTAAAGCAGTCTCTAGAGGAAAGTATATAGCAATAAGTGCCCATATGAGGAGAATGGAGAGATCCAAAATTGACACACTATCGTCAAAATTGAAAGAGCTAGAGGAGCAAGATCAAAAAAACTCAAAACCCAGCAGAAGACAAGAAATTACTAAGATCAGAGCTGAGCTGAAGGAGATTGAGACATGAAAAACCCTTCAAAAAATTCATTCAAATAGGAAAGGTGGAAGCCAAATTGTCTCTATTTGCAGATGACATGATAGTATACCTAGAAGACCCCATCGCCTCAGCCCAAAAACTCCTGAAACTGATAAGCGGCTTCAGCAAAGTCTCAGGATATAAAATCAATGTGCAAAAATCACAAGCATTCGTCTACACCAATAACAGACTTAAAGAAAGCCAAATCAAGAATGAACTGCCATTCACAATTGCTACAAAAAGAATAAAATACCTTGGAACAACTCACAAGGAACGTAAGGGACCTCTTCAAGGAGAACTACAAACCACTGCTCGACGAAATCAGAGAGGACACAAACAAATGGAGAAACATTCCATGTTCATGGTTAGGAAGAATTAATATCATGAAAATGACTATACTGCCCAAAGTAATTTACAGAATCAACTCTATCCCCATCAAGCTACCATTGACTTTCTTCACAGAACTGGAAAAAACCACAATGAACTTCATATGGAACCAAAAGAGAGCCCACATAGCCAAGTCAATTCTAAGCAAAAAGAACACAGCGGGGGGCATCACACTACCGGATTTCAAACTATACTACAAGGCTACAGTAATCAAAACAGCATGGTACTGGTAGCAAAACAGAGATATAGATCAATGGAACAGAACAGAGGCATCGGAGGAAACACAACATATCTACAACTATACAATCTTTGATAAACCTGACAAAAACAAGCAATGGGGAAAGGATTCCATGTTTAACAAATGGTGTTGGGAAAACTGG